AAATAAACACACAGAAAAACCAAAGCCAAAACAGAACAGGACAGGACAACAGGAGACAGGACAGACAAAGCAGACAACCCGAGGATGCTCAGAAATGCAATTTTTTTTCTTTTATAATTGTAGGACAAAAGCAAAATGTAACGAGTTGGTAATGGAGAATGGGTAAAAGGGGAAAATTATGTATAACTTGATAAGAGATGTTTTTTTTTAGTCTTGAACAGAAGTTTTTTAGGGTAGGAATTATAAATGTGAGTGAGGGAGATTGTTCCATAGCTTAGGACCAGTATATTGAATATTGTGCTGGAAAGAAGTGGTTCTATGAAAGAAAGATATATATATATATATATATATATATATATATATATATATATATATATATATATATCTTATCTATATGTATATATATATTACCTTTATTAATACTATTATTATTTTATTATTTTTATTATAATTATTATTTAAATTACAATCATACATTTCAGAGCTTCCAGTAGAAGGTCAGTTGCATCGAGCATTGGATGACGCTCAACAGGTGGTTAAGATAATGAAAGGTCTTCGTGACATTCGGCCTACTTTTGATTTCACAGCCAACGAAACAATAAAGCCGTACTGGAGAATGAAATTTTTCGACTAACCGTATAATATTATATTAGAACTTTCGATTTGGGCCACGACATAACTTTAGATCTAATTCACTTAACTTAGACCATCCTACGTTTTCTCATAACGTCGATTCGGGCCAAATTGCGTCCTAGAATCCACGTGATAACGTTCTGACATGCGCAGGCGACTATTTAGTGACGTCATTACGTTCTAGGCGCAAGTAATGGGTAGTTTTTGCCGCAGGACGTTAACCTAAACTTTAACGAATTACGTCATTATTTATTCATCTTGCGTTGCGGAGTATGTTAAATTGAAGATTTTACGTGCTCGACGTACCTTAGTTACGGGTTGCGCATGCACCTATTAGGTAGTTTTCGCCGCACGACGTTAACCTTAACTTTAACGTCAGTACCCAGCATGCAGCGCGATAGTTCCAACCCTTTTGTAAACAAATCGAAATACGCCTGCGCAAACCCGTAACTAACGTACGGTCGAGATTGTTAAATTCTGAAATTACCGTACTCCACAACGGAAAATAAATAAATTATGACGTCATCCGTTAAAGTTAAAGTTAACGTCGTCGGCGAAAACTGCCTACTGTCGTTGTGCAACCGAAAGCTTTAATGTACCACCTAACCTATCAGTCGCTCTGGAGAATGAACGTTCAAAATGATGATGTAAGATCATGATGTCCAAATTAAGTACAATATACGCTTTAGAGTTGAATAGCCTGTTTTTTTGTTTGTTTTTTTTTTTGTTTTTTGTTTGTTTTTTTTTTTTCTGGCAGTATTTGTCTCACCAACAGTATTCTTTGAGGTTTATAACTGTAGTGAGTCCTTATACTTGAAATGTTATTTATTAGATTTTTAAAAGTATTTTTTGTTTCGCAGCATGTGTTCGCCTTTGATAGTTTTACTTGGAAAATACATAGCTTGGTTTTCATACAATCGATTCATGATATCGCCGTCAGCTGATTGTTCGGTCAAATCGCGGAGCCTTGCCGATTGCGTCGGGGACTGCTACGTAGTACAATGATTGCACTGAAAACGCTTTGCGGCAGCGTAACGATTTTAAGGAAACCAAATTTATATGGAATGACAAAAGGGCAAATTTCGAACAGTCATATATTATTTATTTTAGCGTTCCATAATAATTTGTACAGATGTGTGCGCATAGTCTATAGTTATCGTATTTACCTAATATACGAAGATTAAAATTACGATGTAAACACATTCCAAAGCTATTTTTGAATTTACAAATATTCCAGATAAAAATTGCAGCCATAACTCACCAACAGTTGTTACAGCAACCGACTAGTCACTACATTTTTAGCTGACCATGACTAGTTGTCGTTTTGAACCCAGATTAATTAATCAATCGATCACTCACTCAACAGGTACTGTATTTGTAGACCAAATATCCACGGCAGAATACCATTTTCAGTGGTGACGTATGCAAATATTATTATGTAAATATAATGTATGCTTTTTAGCATATGTATAAGTAAGTGGGGACTCGATTATTGTAAATTATAGCAACTCGAATTATTGTAAAATTTCTGATTGACTTTTCGCTTGGTTACTTTTTAGGTCGTGTTACAATTATTGGATGGGTTATAGTGGATCAGATAAGCATATCATTAAGCTTTAAAACATAATAACCCATCCATGCTTTCTCTAGGCCTATTTGAAATTTACATGAATAATTGTAGGCCGGCTACAATTAAAATGATTGTTGACTTTTTAGTTCTCTCTGTGGCAAAGCTAGACATAATATATTCCGTAGGCTTACTTTTGGAAGACTGTATGGTGTTCATTTATATCTTTAGCTGGTGATGCAATGGTATCCCATCATTCCTCAAACTTAATTAACTCTTACAACTAAGAGAGATGAGAGCTAAGTGTTTACTGTCTCCGTAAGCGGGCAGTAGACACAAAGAGAGTTGACAGTAAAGTGTCTACTGCCCACAAGCGGCAGTAAAAACGGACAAGCGAGATGATAACAAAGTGTCTACTGGTCCGCATGCGGGCAGTAGACATAAAAGGGAATAAAAATTAAGTAATAAGTAGAATCAGGAATGAAGAATCAATAGGTCACTCCACTCTAGCTTCTCCACTTTCTAGCTGAGCTGCTTGCTATATTCCTGTAGTCTATTGGT